TCTTTTATTCCCAATCCTCAAATTTAGTACTGCCCACAGGGTTTTACAAAACAACCAATAACACACGTACATTACAGACACTCCCACACAAAATCCTCCCCTCTGCCTGTGATACAATTACCTTACACAATGGTTAATATAATTATCACAGGCAGAGAAATACACTATTATAAATCCTATCACAGGGACCCCAAAACATGCAATAACCCCATACAAATATCCTCGTAACCGGGGGATCTGGGTGAACCACATATCCAAAATTCACCCAGATCCGTTCAGCAGTTTGGAAGATACAGTTTAATGCGGATTCTGCAGAACATAAACAGGCTAAATGAAAAACAATCACTGTATAATGTGTCCCCTGCTGTATAGTCCAAAACCGCTGCACGATGTCTCTGTGCACCAAATACTGGCGAGATGTCACCCTGTTGAAAAGTCCAAACAGTGTCTGTGAGTAAAAATGGCTGCCATCCATTGTTCTCACCATGTGCCTCTGATACAGGAAATGGTGGCCACCCAGTAACTCCACAGTATGTCCCCAGATGGTTCTTAAAGGACCAGCAGCAGCACAACACAAATCCCTTATGCCCAAATCATGTCTTTAAAGGGCAATACATCCCAGGGGCCATAGTCACATGGCAGGAGGCTGGCAATCAGTCTTCTCCAATGCCCAGTGGCGAGGTCGGTTTCGCCACAGACACAAAAATGGATATTAATCCCCAAATAATGAATTGGATGGTTAGACCAGTTAAAATTATATTTTTGGCTTAAATTTTCTTTTTGTGTTGATATGAGGTTATAGTAGACAATTTGAGTTCTATGCATATTAATTTTATAGTTGGGAAAAAAAACCTATAATCATTAAAGTAACACTATAGTCACCCAAATTACTTTAGCTAAATAAAGCAGTTTTAGTGTATAGATCATTCCCCTGCAATTTAACTGCTCAATTCACTGTCATTTAGGAGTTAAATCACTTTGTTTCTGTTTATGCAGCCCTAGCCACACCTCCCCTGGCTATGATTGACAGAGCCTGCATGAAAAAAAAAACTGGTTTCACTTTCAAACAGATGTAATTTACCTTAAATAATTGTTTCTCAATCTCCAAATTGAACTTTAATCACATACAGGAGGCTCTTGCAGGGTCTAGCAAGCTATTAACATAGCAGGTGGATAAGAAAATCTTAATTAAACAGAACTTACAATAAAGAAAGCCTAAATAGGTCTCTCTTTACAGGAAGTGTTTATGGAAGGCTGTGCAAGTCACATGCAGGGAGGTGTGACTAGGGTTTATAAACAAAGGGATTTAACTCCTAAATGGCAGAGGATTGAGCAGTGAGGCTGCAGGGGCATGTTCTATACACCAAAACTGCTTCATTAACCTAAAGTTGTTCAGGTGACTATAGTGTCCCTTTAATACAAGCCAACGTGATAGGAATAAAAATTTCTGGATGGGCAAGTGTTAAAATTAAACCATCCTCATATAGAGTTGTTTTTTGTTCCTGTTTATCCAAATAAATACCATGACTGTTAACTGATTGTCTAATGTATTCGGCCAAAGGTTCTATTGAAAGCACATATAGAAGGGGCGCTAATGGGCACCCCTGTCGAGTACTATTCGCAATGTCAAACTATTGGGAATTTAGTCCATTACCGACTTTAGCTTTCGGAGAAGACAAAAACAAATCTCTAAATATTCCCTTAATACCAAAGGCTATAAGAGTTTCTGATAAAAAATCTCCAGTTAACTCTGTCAAAGGCCTTTTCCGCATCAACAGAGATAAAAACTGAAGCAATACAGTCTTTTTTGCTTTTCAGAACTATACTTGAAATGTTTTGTATGTTATTGCTACCCGATCTACCTGTTATAAATCCTGACTGAACGGTATGAATTAAATCAGGAATAATCAATGACAGTCTATCCGCTAGTATTTTTGAAAAAAAATCTCATATCCAAATCTATGAGTGAAATGGGATGATTGTTACTTATAAAATTGGATCTTTCCAGGTTTCAAAATTGGTGAAATTGTTGCTGCGAGCAAATCTGATGAAAATTTCTTTGACAAATTAATTTCCACAAATAATTTGCAAAGTAATGAGGTAATAGTAGGTTCAAAGGATTTCTAAAAGAGCGATGTATAACCCTTAGGGCCAGGAGCTTTCCTGCTTTTTAAATTAAGAATTGCCTTTTTGATTTCTTCAGACGTGATAAGTTTATTTAGGTTGGTTGTTTCTGTAATTAGGTTCAATTAAGTTTTTTTTTTAAATGATTTAAGTTCTACTTCAGAGAATGCTTCTGCTGGAATATTATATAATGAGGTATAGAAATTCGCAAAGGCTTTCCCTATACTGTGGGGGGATAGATAGGATTTATCTCCTTTCACAATTTTTTATGCCTTGCCTATTGGGAGGTTTCAGTCTATTTGAAAGGTGCGTCCCTACTTTACTAATGCTATTATACCATTTTTGATTAAGAATAAAAGTCATATTCTTAACTCTTTTGTCAAGTATTTGGTTACTTTGTTAATCTTTAATTAATATATTGGGATTAGTTTTATTCTTATTTTCTAATTTTGCTAATTTTATATCGAAATCTGCTAGGTTTGCCACTTTACTCTTCCTAATTTTGGCCTCCAATTGGATTAGATTACCCCTCATTACACATTTAAATGTAGACCAGAGAGTTTCAGTGGACATTTGTCCATTATCATTATCTAAGAACAAATCTCAGATTTTCATATCAAGATGCTCTTTATTTTCCTTAGATTGCAAAATTGTTTCATTAAGTCTCCATAAAGGTCTACATATTTAAGCCTGATTATTTTTAATGGTTACATCAATGGTCTGACCACGTTGTAGAGCCAATGCTTGAACTTTGAAAATTATGGAGGTTTGACTCATCTGTTAAAAAAAAAAAAAAATCTAATCTAGAGTAACTATTATGGACTCTAGAAAAAAACATTTTTCTTTATCTGTTGGGTGATGAACACGCCAGATTTCAAAGAGTTTATACAAATGTAATTTATTTTGTAGCCAGTCACTATTCTTTTTATATCTTTAGTTTTTTTTCAGGATAATATAACTGAGTTCCTATCCATTTTTTAATCAATCTCTCCCTATGAGTAGAATTCCGATTTTTATTTGGTCAATCTTAAGGAAGACTTTGTTGAAAAAAGACTGCGTAAATTGGTTGGGGGCATACAGATTTGCCAAAGTATATATTATGTTGTTAAGTTTGCAAACAACAATTATGTATCTGCCTGCAAGATCTTTTTCTATGTGTATTAATTCAAACTTAATTTTGCAGAACAATTTGTTTTTTATCAGGTAGATTGGCACTTAGTATTATTGGAAATTAGAATATTTCCATAAATTTTCCCAATTTTTTATCCAATGTGTTTCTTGTAAAAAACAGATATCAATTTTATTTTCCAGTAACATGTTATATAGTATGCCTCTTAATGGGATTGTTTAGGCCCTGGGCATTTATAGAGGTTACTTTGAATACCATATTACAATTTATTGCTCAGCGGAATCTCACCTTCCCAATCCATCCTGCTTCCACCCAACGGAGGCAACACAGCTAAGCATACCATTTTTGTGCAGATTGCAAATAAAGAATAACTTAATACAAAAAGAGACTTTACCACAAGACATACCAAACTAAAACACAACAAATAACTAGCATGAAAAAAAATAAAAAGAAGTGTCTGTCGAAAAACCTGAAAAAGCATCTCCCAAGCAGTAATTTCAGGGAAAAAAGTTCGCAGATGGCAAGTGTGACGAGACATTATTAATACAATAGTACCTTATTGGATATATTGTCCTGATTAAAGAACGTCTGTGTATAAAATTAAACCAGTAGAAGTATGTTAAACCTATTGGAGCAGAAGCCTCTTGTATCCAAGAATGAAGTACATGTTACCTTAAATTAGCTCTAATTTTAACTTCAAAAGTCATATATTGTGGCTTTATACCTTCTATTAAAAAGTTATATAGCAATAAATTAGCATTCTCAAGTAGACTTGCATATAATTAAACTAAATGGCTCTGTCTCAAATCTAAATATCATCACTTTTGTATTTCTAATGCTATAGTGTTCCTTTAACCATCTATTTTGTGTAGCTCTTATATCAAAAAACACTTTTTGGGTCAATTTTACAATAACGTTTATAGAGATTAACATCAGAGTCCAGTGGTTTTACAACAGCATCAGCGATAGTCCCTTTGATAGCAGACAACATAAAGCATTGTAAATCAACATCTCCTGTTTAGATTGTCTGCAATGGGAGTTGCTTGAATAGAAGATCTTTTCTATGCGTTGGGTAGAAGTCCTTTAACTATCTAGGGATAAATGCTAGCTAATAATTTAGTGTTGGAGAGAAAAAAATACAAGGAATATTAAATGATGAAGGTGGGCTATAGGGGGAAAATAAATTGATGGGATTGGGGAATGGATGGGAATAAAGATATAGGAAAACAAAGTGAAAGGAAAAGAAGAGGAAAGAAATGCTGACAAATGAAAATACTAGAGCGAAAAATGGTGTGATGGCTGAGAGCATTATACAACATGTCTCTAAGAGTGAAAAATAGGGAAATACTTGCTTAATGAAGAGAAGAAGAGAAAATGAGGGAAATGGGAAGATTTTCTGTCAGAAGAGACAGACAGAGCAAATGGTTAATGGGGATGGAGAGTTAGCAAAAAAAAAAATCTAAATCCTGAAATATACCATACGTTTTGTTAAAATAGAAACAAATACTATGTATGTTGGCTCTATAGGGCAGTGATCTTCAACCTTCTCCTGAAAGCACACCTAACAGTCCAGGATTTAGGCATTACCCAGGTGTGTCTAAGGTGTGAAAAACAAAACAAAAAAAACACACCTTAGACGCTAAAGATTTTTTTTTCTTTTCCTAAACACCTTAGGCACACCTGGGTAATCCCTAAATCCTGGACTGTTAGGTGTGCCTTGAGGAGTAGGTTTCGGATCACTGATCTAGGGATGCAAACCTGAGATCCTTACATTTGAACAGGCAATACAAATACTAACCCATTGTACATTATTTTTGCACTCCAAAGGATGATAGGTGGGTAAACAAAAATGCTTTATTCCACAAAATGAAAAAAACAAAAAGGCTGGCAAAGAGTATGTATCCATGCAAACTGTATAACAGGGAGGTGGAGGATGCTTAACCACATACCATAGAGGCTGGACACATCTTGTGTCTTTCCTGGACACTTTTCCACAAACAGACACACCTTTATATTGAGCAGTAATTATTTTACATTAAATATATATAGTGTATTGCATATACTATGATGTACTACAAATACTCAAATTAATGCAGATACCAACTGATTATCTTAAATGGCATTGACATAAATACCTCATCTTTTCCTATTCTAGTGAAGGTTCTGCTTCAATGACTTGAATTGAATTTGAGGGAATAATGGAGTTCTTTTCAGACCTTTCACTGTAATCAGCTACACTGAAATACAACACAGGGTAGGTTTCAAGGTCCAGATTTGAAAATTCCCCTTTAGCTACACTGCATCTTTTTTTTTTAAGCCAATAATACCTTTTCATCCCAGCAACATTATACACTTTTCGTGATCATGGGCTATCTGAAAGGGGTTTTTGAATATATAAATAAACATGTCGGTAATACAAAAATTTGTAGTTGTCCTTGTCACATTCATTTGCTCTGAGTTGGAATTTTGCCAAATCTAGGAGAGAAAGTGACTCATACCAGTGTTCCATAAATCCTAATAGTATACAGGGGGTGTGTGAGGCTTTAAATCTCCTATTGCATTTAAACTCTGAGAAAAATGTAAACGATTACTAACACTTGAGTATCATCTTACAAGGTAGGAATTTGGACTCTGTGACTAATGAATACTTGTCAAATAAGAAAATACACCATACCATCCTTTTAAAACCATTTTTTATTTAAGCCTTTATAAAATAACCCATTTTTAATACTAAACAACACACACTTGTTGCTAAAAGGAGGAATATCAGTCAATGGAAGATTTGTTTTTTATTGAAAAATTAGGAACTTGGTTTATTTGGTTATTTTATCATTCCTTGGCTTGTAGTAGATGCACAGTTGTTATACTCTCCCCCTACCAAATAGGAAGAAATTTTAAATAGGAGCTATGAAACATGATTTCTACTGGATTAAATAAAATATAGAACATTTTCCAATCAAATTTCATTTTCATTGATCTTTGTGCAGCTATTTTGTTCTTTTAATGCATTCTTGGTTCTGGAATAGGTTCTACAAGATCCTGATATGTATTTTCTAGAGCATGGTTATATCTTTTCCTTTGAGGACTGTGAAGTCACATTTGTCCCCCAAAAGCCATCAATTCTGGAGGCACAATTAACTGTGTCAATCTTAGGTGATTAGAATGACATCTATAAAGCACCATCATCAGCCATCCTGTGTACATAAAACACTTTATCAAAGGAGAAGCTGACATAAGACATAATAAGGGGAACCCCACACAGTAAATGGATGTTTAATAGGAAAGAAGAGATTAAAAGTGTAGAGCAAGTATTTATAGTAGCAATAGGTACACTGAAATTACATCATGTGATGTTGAGCTCTAGTAGCATATAGGAAATTGAGCAGAGGGAACAGGTGAGGAGATAAGACCTAATGTGGTGAAAAGAAATGCAACTGATGTAGCAAAGGAGAATGAATATATTGTGGTAGGAGAAAAGTGGACTGTTATTGAGGGTGAGGAAAAAGGTATGTCAAAAAAATGGGTAAGGGTACTTGTAAAATGGTTCACATAAGGATCTCATGTAATACTATTATTTTTGTTGATGTGCACTGTGGCTACATGTCTTTCTGCTCTAAAATTAAAGTAATGAAATGTGATTTAGATATGATGGATACAGCTTTTGGTCTCAAACATTTATCTCAAACTGTTCTAGATCATCCTTCTGTTGATGTTTAGTGCCAAGGTACTGGATCCTATGCTTTCAAGTGAACACTTTAAGCACTATAGCTAACTGTAGTGATTATGATGCCAGGATTGCCAGGACACCTTCCTATGATAAGTAGTCAAATTACCTGGTTCCACAGGTTCAGGAGCTTCATCCAATCTTTTACTGCATAGTTAAACCTGAACTACCTAGAACCTTTTGTGTACATGTGCTTAGCTGATGCACTAGTTTTCCCTGCCTAGATCTATAAAACTAGATTCCCCTGCATGGGCAGACTAGATACAAGGTATCATGCCGTGGGTGCCACGTGTGTCCCAGGAAGTCTTCAAACTTTACAAAAACAGCATGCATACTCACTATCGGAGGCCAGCTGTAATGGCCACTGGAGTGTTAATAAAAAACCTGCAGCTATTTAAATATGCCTATCGATTTAGGATAGTGTGCACGTAACTCTTTTCTTTGTTTTTTATTGTATATATTGGGATTGATGTGTACTAAGGGCAGGACTTATTTTTTTTATTTGTAATGGTTATGGTGCTTGGAAATTTCCTTTAATTCCACTGCTTCCATCCTGTGCCAGAATTCTACCTTGAGCTGTGACGGGTATCACTAAACAGCTTCATGCAAAATATCAATGTTGTTGTTACTGAATTGGCATAATCACCATAAACAGTAATGACTCCTGTTGACAGCAAACCAATCTAAACATGTGTTTTTGTTGTTTTTTAATATAACCCACAGACCAACCTTTTAACAGATACAGGAGTTCCTTTCAGACCTCTATTTATACTAATAACATTAAAGTTAAAAAAGAGTGCATAGAATTAAGTGAACAGGTGTCTTATTCTCATATAGTTAAAGGTAGTAAACAGATCACCCTTTCTCTTCCTTGTAGGTTTCAAATGTCTAGTTTTAATCTTCAGGAATGCAGATTTTTTTGAGGTTTTGGAAAGCTAAACAATATCTAAAACCACAGAAAAGATGCCATTCATGAGGGATCAGTGTGTTTTTTTTTTTTTCATTTTACCAGTCATGCTTTTTTTTAATTCACTACATTTTTAGCATGCAAAACCGTGGCCGTGTGCTATTTAATGCATACTGAACTTCACTTCCACATCTGTTATAGCAGGGAGGATATACATTCCAGCATTCCTTTGAGAATATAGAAGATTTTTTTTTTTTTTGCAATAGCAAAACACTGAGAGATGCTTTTTTTCAATGCACTCTTTTGGAAAATTAAAATTACTCCACTGGCATTATTTTTACCAGTGTTCGGAACTAGTCATGCATGCAATAAAATACGGTTTTAATAGGTTATATTATTTAAATTCTTGCCACACGGATAGCACACGTGGCTTTTATGTCTTTTGCATGAGTAGGTTCAATTCTGAATTCATATGCTCGTATGGTCTGCATTAGTAGAACCATGCATAACTAGTAATAGCTGGGAGCTGACAAGGGAAATGCTAATTTAAAGCAAAAATAGCAAAACTTGGAAACTTTTTTTTTTATCCTATTCAGTTCAGTTCTCTTGTTATTATTATTATTATTATTATATTATGTATATAGTGCCAGCAAATGCTGTAGCACTGTACAATGGGTGGACTAACAGACAATTCACAACAAATATTTTATAGATTGACACTATCGGTGTAATTTATAACAATACAAAAACAATATGACAAACAACAATACTCAAATGCCCAAGAGAATAATTATGTAACACTGCGTGGCTAATTGGAACTCTCATATTCATGAATGCATTATATAGACATTAAATGAACACTATAGCATTAGGAACACAAACATATATTCCAGTAAACACCAAAGGAGGCGAGAGATCCTAAGTAACAGTTCCAAGAGAGGGAATTCTAAATAAAAATTAAACTTTTATTACAATTTCCTGAATATGACATCAAATTGAAAATCACACACAACCTACTCCAAATATAATTAGTGAATAAAAGAATATGTTTAGCGGCTGGTGGATGAAAAAAAGTAGAAAGCAGTCCAGTGTGTCTGATCACGTCATAATTTTACCTCTAGATGGCTAATTTCTGTGTTATCAGACACAAGTAGTAACACTGTGGGGAAAAGCTGTTCATGCATTCAATTAATAAGAGTAAATCTGCTTGTTAAATATAGCCAGTAAGCATCAAAGTGGCTAACTACATATACATCTATGAGTTGTGGTATAAGGAAGTCACACTGTTTTTGCTTCTTCATGCTTTAAAAAAACTGTGTGTTGTGAACTTAGAAAACAAATTAGTGGGAGATCCCAGACAGCTGACACTTGTATCTTTATGCAGGGTGAAAAAAGTGATGTATGTCCTTACAAAGAGTAGAGAAGGTAGAAAGAGAAGGAAGTGTGATTGGTAAACATTTAGGGGTCAACGAGATACAAAATACCCTATAATGGGGGCAGTATAGTTAAACAGAAAAATTCAGATGGGTAAGGCTTAGAGCAATATCAAAGATCACTAGTATAAAAGGTAGATTCTGTTAAGTTCAGATGTTCAAGATAGTACTGAGCTGAGCCATCATACCTATATGGGTGGATGAAACCAGCCCATGGATGTAAACAAAGCTTCCCTATAGTAGGAAAGGTAATAACCACCCTAGCACCTCGATTCATTAATCATCTTCTCCATCCAGTTACATCAGCAGTGTATTTCAGCTCATAGGGTAGATCACTGGAATCGACCAAACTGTTTTCTTCACCTGTTGAGTGGGTTGTGTGTGTCTTTCAACTTGATGTTATTTTAATTTAGTTGTAATAATGGCTTTAGTTTTTATTTAGGATTCCCAGTTTTGGGAACTACTCTACAGGGGCTCTCCCCCTCTATGGTTTTTACGTGCAGCCATCTGTCACATCCTGTTCTGATGTCTGACCATGGCTTCTGGTATCCAGTACTCTTTTTACAATTCTTGTTTAGACCGTGGTGCCCGCCGTCATGTGATGCAGCCCCAACCCTCGCTGTAAAACTTCTGGGGCCACACGTTAAGGGGCCCATCAGGTGGCACGGGCCACCCGATGGAAATTAGTTTTCAGGGGGCCAGATCAGTGCTGTGCAGGGCAGGACTGGCCCACCGGGATACCGGGATATTTCCCGGTGGGCCGTCGGCACCTGAGGCTGGACAGAGCTGGTTAACCTGTGGCCACAGGGGGAGCTGGCTGTGCTGGCTCTGCTCCCCCGCCCGCGTGCGCTACTTAACGAGACCGGGGCTAGAATATCTGGTCTCATTAAAGTGCGTGCCTACAGCCAGCTCCCCCC